CTTCCTTCCTTCCTTCCTTCCTTCCTTCCTTCCTTCCTTCCTTCCTTCCTTCTTTCCTTCCTTCCTTTGTTCCTTCCTTCTGTTCTTTCTGCCTTCCTTCCTCCTCCCTTCCTCCCTTCCTCCCTCCCTCCCATTCTTCCCTCCTTCTGTTCTTTGGTAATGTATGTGATATAGCATGTATAACGTGTGTCGCTGCATGCTGAGGTCAGACCTCAGTGTTATATGTCTCCTCCATTGCTTTGCACCTCTTATTTTTCAAGACTGAAGCTGCAGCTCCCATCAGTTTGGCTAGGCTAGTTAACTGGTAAACTTTAGGGGTCCGCTCATCTCTGTCCTAGCCCTAGGTGCTGGTGAGAGAGGTGTGTGACTTCACAGCGCCTAGCTTTTTATGTGGGTTCCGGGGATCTGAATTCAGGTCCTCCTGCTTGCATGACAGACACATTACCCACGGAGCCCTCTTCCCAGCCTGTATTCATTCTCTCTCTCTCTCCAGCAATCCATAATGAGCACATTCATTCATGTATGCATGTGACAAGCAAACACGTCACAAAAATGACCTCACTCGGTATGGTAGGCAACAGTAACTTTTGTTCAGAACACTGCTAACTGCTCACTTACATTCATCACCTGCTAATGAATCTGACCCTGGACTTGACACTGCTATTTTAGATTAATAACTTCAAACCATAGTGTGAGGTGTGAATTAGGTCCACCCCATAGACAATCTGAAGAGGGGCTTAGGAATATCTGCTTATCAATCTGTCCAAGAGCTCCTGAAGAGAAGATCCCCAGCCCACACAGAAACAGAGGGTCACGTGTCATGGAGCAGCCGTACTCAGAAGTTGCTGCTCTAATGTACCAACTCTCCTTTAAAGACTGATAGTCCTGTGGCTATGGGAAAACCCCAGAGAATCCCTTTCCTCCTCCTGGCCACTCCCCTATAAGAAGCATCTACAAAGCCAGGGAAGCTGAACGAGAGGCCAGGTGTGAGATGGATTGTTCAAGGGAGCAAATGAGAGGCTGAGAGCCAAGAACAAAATGAGGAGAGAATGGCATCCTATCATGGCAGCCTGGGTGACCTTACCAACAGTTTGCCTCTGAAATATAAAGCTCCGGGTTACAAATGACTGCTAAGCCTCCTGTTGAGGCACTTTAATGGAAACCAAAGCTCCTGAATAACTTGTCCAGGACACACTAGTCATCAAGCTAGGTTCCAGATTCAGGCTTGAGATTTCCAAAATCCATAACCTCCATCTTCAGCCAGCCTGCAGTTGTAAATCCATGGTCTGAAGGATCAGGGGCTGTCTCTGGATAGTAGGCATGAAAAGTTGATGCTATAAAGGACTTGACCTCACCTATGGTTTCTTCTGTTTTTTTTTTCCCTGCCACCCCTGACCTTGCCTTTTGCTGCCCCTCTCAGTTGTCCCTTATGAGATCACCCTCTACACTAGTGATGTCTTTGCTGCTGGGACCGATGCCAACATCTTTGTAGTCATCTATGGCTGTGATGCTGTGTGCACCCGGCAGAAGTTCCTGTGCACCAACAAGAGGGAGCAGAAGCTGTTCTTCGAGAGGAAGTCCGCCTCTCGCTTCATTGTGGAGGTACCTGACTCCGTGCACTGCCACAGATGGGTGGGGTTGGAGTAGCACTTCATCGAGATTGACCACAGCCAATAGGACATGAGCAGCTTGCCTAGCCTCTCTGAGCCTCCCTGTGTCCAGCCAGACAGGAGGGTGATAAAGTTAGCTGGAGCTTTCTAGGACAAGCGCCATGATTAAAGATGACAAGTGACCAGAACCCGGGAAACAGAAGCCATACCAACAGGACATCTTCCTGCTTCTCCCATGCATCATGGCTTCCAGGAAGGCAGGAGCTGGGGTGCTAGATGGTGCAAATCTCTCCCAGGAGATTGTGCAGGGCTGTGTCACCTGCTTGGCTTTTAAGCTGTAGCCATTTGAACACAGAACTGTTGTGTTTCACAGCTCCTATCAGGTCTGGGTAAGGGATTCTGCCATCTGATGTTTGCTGGGAGATGTGGGTTCCAGCACCTTGGAATTCCCACTTGCCTCTATGCAGAGCAACTAACTCATTATGCTTGCAGAGCAACTCATCATGTTTGTCCTGTCCTCTCCAGTGAGCTAGCATGGGCAGGAGACACAACAGAAGACTCTGCCTGCCAGGAGCTTGTGGGCTAGCTGGAGAGCCTAGTCCTCCACACGAGATGGAAAACCTGGGATTGACACCATCACTTGTCCTATGGGATTTATCTATGTTCACTTAGTGGACTCTTGTAACAATTCTGTGCTGTACTGGCCCTGGAGGGGCCTGCGGCACAGCGAAGGCAGTGGCTTTTCCCAAACCACACAGCTAGCATGCAGGGGAGCCAGAATGAAACCCGGGTAACTGACTTTGGCATGTGTATTCTTCTACCCTGTGGTAGACGCCCAAGTGGACTGAGATTGCCATTAGTGTTCAGAGAGGAAAGGGTCTTGGAGGAGATGGCTTAAAGCCAGGCATGTGGGTAAGCATTCTCAGGACAAGGAGGAGAGGCATTTTGCACTCAACAGCCCATGAGTAGAACAGGGACAGCAAGGGGCCAAGGAGGAGAGGCATTTTACCCAAGAGCCCATGGGTGGAACAGGGACAGTATGGAGCTTGAGGGGCCAGGAGGAGTGTGGTGGGACTTAGGAAGAGGGTAGGGATGAAGCCAGGTTTGAAGAGGAGCCAGGAGCTTTGGGAGCCTCAACTCACTGGGTAATGGGGAGTGGTGGTGCCATGCCCTTGTATTCTGGTGGGAAACAATGTCCAGCTTGTTCTTTTCATCCAGCTGCTGCCCCAAGAATCTCACTTTCTTTCCCACCCTCTCTGGGAGCAGTCAGCTTTGGTGGGAGGTCTCTCGTGGAAAAATCAAGGCAGATTCATTCATCTACACAGACTAACATCTCTCCACCCACAGTGATGTTGTGGGTGGATCATGTGACGTCATCAATGCCCGGGTTACATCTCTGCAGGGCTTTCATCAGTGAGGTCCCCCATTAGTAGGCAGCCATAATTTGCCAGTTCATTTGCTGTTGGTGTTCCTTTCTCAATGTTTGGCTCTTAGGGGAACAAGGGCACTTGAGCAAATGAAAAGGCTTTGTTTCCTAGCTTCTCTTTTCTGCCTACATCTTCCACCTCTCTACTCTTCCCCAATGGATTCTCTGTCCGTCACTCAGTCCACAGCTCACCTTCCTGTCCTGAGTCTGAATCAGCCATTAGCAAACTGTTCCCCATCTCTGTAGTCCACCCTAAAGGCTTGGCTGGGGAGAAGAACACTGACCAGTTAGGATTCCTGAGCTCTTCTGAAATGCCAGCCCTGTTCTAAGTCATGACACCCTCATGACAATACCTAGAGGGTGGTGCTATAACAATCCCATATCACACATAAGCACCCAGAACAAGAAACGTTTGAACCTTGCGAAGATGGCATTATGCAGTGAGCTAGGGAGTTCAGCTCCAGAGCCTTCTTGGGCAATGCCTTCACCCCTCCTAAGGAAGAAGACTAGGGCCTTTTCTGATGCCCATGACTTCTGAGCCTATCTATGAGGTCCATCACCCCTGACTACCAGTCCTCTGAAGGCCTCTTTGCTGTCCATGGTACCACAGCCAAGATGGTCCCCTGATACAAGCAATTAAATTTTCATAAGTCCCATTGAAGCCACATGCCCCAAACCTCAAAGCCTATGGGACAGGGAAGGAAAAAGAAGACCCCGGGTAGAAGAAAAGCCAGGGACCTTCATTTCCCGGCCACTTTGGTCAGCAAGGTTGTCATCTGAGATGCTGTGGACCTCAGCCTTCACTTGGGGCAACAGTACTTCTCTGACAGATAAATAAGATCCATTTAAAATTTCTACAGGCCTTACATTACCAGGAAGCACCAATCTTTGTTTCGTTACTGAGCTCTCTGGGCCTGCAAGGCCTCTAAGGACCACTGTGGCCATGGATTCTGTTCTCTGATTCAGAGCAGGTGTCAGGTGGTAAAGCATCTTGGGGGAAGCAGCAATTTCATGGAAGCTGTGACATCCTTGTCTGTCTATAGGACAGCATGGTGCTTGATCAGGTGACAAAAAAGAACCATGCTGTGGTCTTTGACCTAGGCATGATCTCAGTGGGCTGCCCCAGCCACGGTCCCAGCTTTGGGTGACTCAGACACCATTTTCTGTAAGTTTGAGGAAGTAGAATTTGTAGAAGTAGAGAAAAAGAACTACCAAAGTGGAGGGGCTCTTAAGAATTAGAAGATTTGGACACGGTCTGCCTAGAGAGACAGGAGCACGGGCTGTACCTGATCTCCTCTTCTGAGACCCAATTCAGTTCTTAGAGGACATACTACTACGGCTCCCATGGCCTCAGGAAGTAGAGTCAGACATCCCTGAAAGACCGAGTGCCCAGATTATGGCCAACTATGTCCTGACTGAGGGAATGTAGCATTAGCATGTGCAGAGCAGGGGCTCGGCCTGCCTGCTCAGTAGAGACACGTGGAGAGCAAATAAGGTCCAGAGGGATCTGAACATGGCTGCCCCAAGGATGTGCAACGCAACCGAAGCCTTTGCGCTAACACGCAGTGCCTTCTTTCCCTTTCTGAAGTTAGAAGACGTGGGCGAAATCATTGAAAAAATTCGGATTGGTCATGATAACACAGGCGTAAACCCCGGGTGGCACTGCTCCCACGTGGACATCCGCAGGCTCCTCCCCGATAAAGACGTAAGTCTGAGAGGGGTCTGTCCCGCTGCCTCGTCTTCTTCTTCCTCTTCCGGAATTAGGTCACCGCATACTGGCTTGCTGGCTGCTCCAGCCTCTGGGGCATGTTAACCAGCTCGGGTCCAAGGGGGGTCCAAGGCAGAATCTTCAAGAGATCAAGGAAAAGAGTCTGGCCAGTGGCTCTCAACCTGTGAGGCGCAACTCCTTTGAGGTTAAACGACTGTTTCATAAGGGTCACACATCAGATATCCTACAAATCAGATATTTACATTGTGATTCATAACAGTAACAAATTACCGTTGTGAAGTAGCAACAAAAATAATTTTATGTTGGATGTCACCACAACGTGAAGTACTGTGTTAAAGGGTTATTGCAGCATTAGGAAGGTTGAGAAGCACTGACCTTGGCAATCTAGTCCCGTCTATGTCTCTGCCCCAAGCTCCAAAGCACCAGCACCAGTGAGTGATCAGCGTGTCCTTGCTTCTACTCAGGGTCAGCTCCAGAGGGAAATCTAACCTGAACAACTTGGAAAACACTAGGAAAATGTAAACTTCCACAGTTAGGAGACGGCGAGCTGCTGGTGACAAGATGGGGTCACTCATTGACCCCATGCATCTGGGAGAGGGGTCAGATATTGATTTTTAAGTGACCCAACAGGTACAGGCTTCAAAAGCTAACTCCTCCTGCTGTGGTTGTGCGAATCTCTAAGGCTAGGTCTCCTCTGATTGGGCCAGGAAGGTTCCCCGTGTCTTCTTACTATGAGGAGACACCTTACTTGTCTTTGGCTCCTGTGAGCTTGATGATGCTGGCGAATCTCTGGAGTTGGTGGTCTCTCCTCACAGACTGGTTTTCCTCCTCGCCCCAGGGTACAGAGACCCTGACTTTCCCGTGTGATCGATGGCTGGCCACCTCTGAGGATGACAAGAAGACCATCCGAGAACTGGTGCCTTATGACATCTTCACTGAGAAGTACATGAAAGACGGGTCCTTAAGACAAGTCTACAAGGAAGTGGAGGAGCCTCTGGACAGTAAGTGTGGGGGGGTGGCCCTTGTCACACAGGAAGCTCCAGGACCACAGCCCTGCTGGTAAAGCATCTGCCCCTGCCAGGTTGAGCCTACTCACACAGGAGGATGGTCTATGCTGTGACTGGGAAACTCACAGAGGTCACAGAGCCACATTCACACAGCTGGTAGATGGCAAGCCGGTCTTCAGAGTCTGGCCTGTTTCGCTCAAGTGTGTGTTCCGATAACACCCACTACCTGCATTCCCCTGTTCCTAGCTTTCTGTTGCTCAGCTCATTGGGCTACTAGTTGATGTAGTGTGGCCCTTTCTGCTGTTGCTGGACAGTCTATGCCAGAGTGCAGCTCAGTGGGAGAGTAAATGCCCAACACGTGAGCACCTGGTTTGAAACCCTGTACTGTAAAAGATTTGTTTCTTAAGAAAAACAGAACAGAATAAACAACAACAACCAAACAAGGTAGAAATCTCCTGGCAAGAAATCTCAGGAGATTAGGTCCAGGCTCTAGGTTTGTCCAAGGTTGTGGGGTTTTGTTTTCTGCATGAGCCAGTCACTGTCACCCATGGATGTTATTTCTTGTCAGAACTTGAATCATCCCGACCACGCACTCCCTGTGCTTCTTCCTCCCTTTGGTCTCAGTGACATCACCATTTTCTGGTTATCCTCCTACCTCCCTCAATAGTCTGCTTAGTGTAGGTCCTTTCTGGTGCCTACTGGCATACAAGGCTCATCCCCCAGCCTTCTCTAACTACACTGTGTGCCCATGCCTGTACATGCACACACACGTGTCCTTCCTTTACCACACAGGTAGCACTGACCAGCCACTCAGCTCTGAGTAAGCTTTAGCTGTCCGAGAGTCAATGTCGCCTGTAGGAGTTTCCACCACTGATGCTACACAAAGGGTGCCCATGGTCCTCCCCAACATGGTAGTCTAAAGAGACCATAGAAGCTCCAAGAACCGGAAACCCAACCCAAATTTATAGTGTTATGGTTTGGGGAAAACTGGAGTAAAACCCAGGATTCCATTAAAACTCAAGATTCTCTTAGGAAGCCAGTGGGGGCAAAAAGCAAGAGCTTTCTGCTATGAGAGTTAGAAGACAAGAGGCAAATGTGTTTTCCTTTTTATGTAAAGCAGTGACAGCCCCTGCTTTCCTTTAATCTAAACCATCTTGCTCAAGAGTGCCTCTCTCTCCATCCACATCCTTTTCTCCAAATTGTCTTTACTATTCAGTCAGGGAGATTCTTTTTTTTTTCTATTTGGACCACAGATGGACAAGCCGGGCTGCTGTTCCCAGCATCACTCTTGGGATGTTCTTTCTAAACAGCACTTCACAGAACCTTCTCTGAGGTTTCTAAGGAAACACCTCTTCCCTGACAAGCTGTGTGGCCTGGGTGGGATGGGAGAGAGGAGGATCCAGAAATAGCTGGATCCTGTATCCCCATGTTGCTCAGCATCCAGAAGCTGAATTAGTTTTCTCAATTCCCAAAGGACCAGAGAAAGCAGCAGGAGGTGGAGTGGGGGTGTTAGAAGATCATTCATCCAGTCTGGGACAAGGGCGCCTAGAAAAGGAATTTCTAACAGCTCCACCCACCTGTGATAATTTCGCCTGCAGAACTGAGCTTGAATGCAGCCAGAAGCGGAGGGGTGTGGCAGGGAGAGGACAGTCATCAAATGTTGTGTCTAAGCTCTGACAGGATTCCTAATGTTACCTTGTGTTGGTGTTGGCCCGGCAGACTTGGGTACTTATTGCTGACTCTTTTAAGCTACAAAAAGACAATTTCATCATCAGTTCCTGAGGCCTGTGACAAGCTGGCTGCTTCTGTGCTAAGCTGAGCAGGGTAGAGCTGGAGCAAATGGGACTGGTCCCCGACTCTTGACTGTATCAGCAACGAGGGAGAATGAGGGAGCATGAGCTATGAAGAGGGGGAAGGTAAGGGTAGGTTTGGAGATGGTGTAGGATACAGGAGGGATCAAGTGCACATAGATGTTTGTGACGCTGGGGTCCTGTCTTGGGGAGGCAGTTACTAGGTGACAGGAATTGGAAGTTTGAAGCCCAGGAACCTGGGTTGAAGATGTAGACTCAGGAGGCCAAGGAAGACAAAGCCAGGTGGAAGTTTCAGTTCCTTCGTAAACTCAGTTATGTTATATAGATATGTTTTTGTTTGAATCCCAAGTGTGGGGTTTTAGTTGGGGTTTTCATTTTTCCATAGCTGATAATTGTCTCATGTAGAGTGTGGCCTTTGCCAGCTGGTAACAGCCTGCTCCGTGTGGCACAAAGAGAGGTGTAGTCTGGGACTCTGAAGGATATAAATATGAAAGCCCAGAGAGGGGAAGGGGGCATGAGGTGTTGGTGGGGGGTGTGCCAGTTGGAGTGACCAGAGATGGAAGGTGTGGTGGACGGAGAGAAACGTTTCAATGCAGGGGTTCTGGGGGAGACTGCCTGCTGCATCTGCTGGTGGTGGAGATTGGTAGCCCCGGGGACCACATGACCCTAAACAGCCAGGAGAAGTAAAGTGGTCTGTACCCCTTCTCCTCCCTCACCTTCTCTGTCCTACCTAGGGTTGGGGGTTGGAAGGGAGAGGCTTTAGGAACTTCAAATAGAGTTTAAAAACGAGCAGTACAGCCAGGTTGTACAAAATGAGAGCAGAAGGGTGAAGATGGAGCTAAATAATTTAGTGGCCGTGGGCTGTGTGGAAGGTGAGGAACCCAAGAAAGCCAGAAGGAAGCACGATGCTGTGGAATACAGGGGAAAAACAACACATCAGGAACCATACAGGGCATGGACGTGTCCCTAACTGTGCTGCCCACAGCACGTTGATTCGCTGCACTGAGATGACTGTGGGCCCATTTACAGGGGTCAGAAAGAAAGTTCATCTTGGTCAATGTGTGAAAGAGAACCATTTTCTAATGTCTTGTAAGTCCCCAGGATTCACAGGAATGGCCCTCAGTCCAGGGTAGGAATCACCCCACCCTAGCTACCTGCCGTGCAGTACCAGTGCACTCTGGGTCCATGCTGACAGTCTACCATTTCTCTGGGTGACCAAAAGCAGTACTGCAGGAAACCTCCCAGTTTCTAAGCACTACTCTAAAAAGATTCCTTTCCATCCTGTTCCCTTGGATTTCCCAGAGCAAAGGCATGTAGAGAGAGAACGCAGTCTTCCCAGCCTCTCTAGAAGCACGTGGGGGACTTTCTAATCCATGGGGCTGGAGGCTGGGGAAGCAGCTGTCTTATTCTTCCTTGCTGAGCCACATCACCAGAACAAAGCCAAGACCCCACACTCAGTTCCATTCTCCTCAAGATCTTTGTATACCAGTCACCTGGATACTGAGCCCTTTGCCAGGCACTGTGGGGACAGGAGAGGGCATCAGTCACTGTGGTTTGGGGAGAAAGAGTTTGTCTGGGGCAAGGTGAGTGGTACTAGTGGGTGGGCTGAAGAATAAATCAAAATAAGAATGATGGTGATTTTTTAAAAACCACTACACACACACACACACACACACACACACACACACACACACACCTACAATCCGGTTAGAAGGAACTGGTGTAGTTAGGTGACGAGGCCTTGTCACAACATGAAGACTCAATGGCCATAGTGAAGACATACCTAAGGCAGTCTCCTTGGACTAGCTTGACTGGGTGAAGGAATGGACTGGGAGGGCACTCCCAACACCCCCATCTTTCAATTTTCTGAGAATCCACACCTGACATGTGACCTCTGACTGAAGACCCCGCACAGTGTGCCACTGACCACACATAGCCAAGGAGTGAAAGGAAAATGCTGCTGATTCAGGGCCTGGAAGAGACCTTTGTATACCGACCAACCCTGCTCCCGAGAGCTAACGTGCTTCCACCTTTCTCTTCCATCTGTCTGTCCGTTTGTCTGTCTGTCTGCCCAACTTGATGGGTAGTTGTGCTGTACTCGGTGCAGATCTTCACTGGGAACGTTCCTGGGGCAGGGACAGATGCCAAGGTCTACATTACCATCTACGGAGACCTCGGGGACACGGGGGAGAGGTACCTCGGCAAGTCAGAGAACCGCACCAACAAGTTTGAGAGAGGAACGGTAGGAGGGACACGCTGGGTTCGTTTCACCTGTCTCCTCTCTGGCTCCAGCCATCTGAGTGCCAGGTCTCCTGGCCCTGAGGCTATCTTTGGATTCTGTGGGGTGCCATGATCCTCCTTTGGGCTTTTGATACTGTTTTTACCCTGCAAGCACAGATTGCCCCCGTTTCTGGCCAGTGCATTTCTCCACGTTTTGTATACGGGGTGGGGTTGAGTGGAAGTGTGGACCTGAGCTCTAGATTGTTCTCTGTGTGGCAGTGGCCTCTTCAGGAAGCCAGCTCACTGTGGAGGGTCCACGCATGTGGAGGTGGAGGCTGTATTGTGGCTGGGACTGGCCTGACAGAGACTTGATTAGTGGCCTGGAAGCCTGGCTCTGCCTTCACCACCTTGTCTGATTCAACTTTGCTGACCTTAGTTTCCTTGTCTCAAGGATGAGAAAGTAAAGAGAAGTTGGCTCAGGTGTGTTGCACAGAGCTGGGGCCCTCAGGAACAATATAAATAAAACTAGGGAGCAGCAGGGCCCCCTTACCCACCCAGGTAGACTCTCCTTGACCTGACCAGTTTGTTGAGGGCAATAATGCTCTCTGTTAGGGTTCTGTGACTCTAAAGAGGCTTGAAAGACACATGGCCAGTCAGTGTCTGCAGCGCTTATAGCTCTGCTGTGCTATGATTTACAGGAAGGACGAAAGACCACTGAAACTTTCCCATCTGTGCAGCTCAGCTTCCCTCTCCAGGAGAATCTCCAAAGAGGAGAGTCATAGGTCTGGTCCAGCTTCTATCTTGCCAATGGCCATGCCTGTGCAGGCATCCATGCATGTCCCAAGAGCCCAGCTCTCAGCCAGACAGGCCTTTTGTATCGAACCATCTGCTGCTTTTGAGGAAGGAATTAGCAGCGGGACAGGGAGCAGGTGTCCTGTGAGTGGATCTGAAATGCCTGGTGACCCCATGTGCTATGCTCAAAGAAGGAGCCCTCACCTGGCTGCAGGTCCCTCAGAAGCCATGTCCCAGCACTCTCATTAACCAGCTAGATAAAGACCATCAATCAGCCTTTAACTTCACGTTCCTGCTTCTGAATTGGGAATAACAACAGGATTCCTAATTAGACCTCTGCACTGAGCAAGAAGAAAAGTACATCATACCGAGGAAGATAATTTACAAGTCATACACACACACACACACACACACACACACAGAGAGAGAGAGAGAGAGAGAGAGAGAGAGAACATGAGATGTAACTGTTTATTGCCTGAGTACCCTGCTCAGGAGAAGGGCCTATCTTGCTCTTTCGTTTTAGAAAAATAGAAAGCTGAAGAGGCCAAAGTGAATTCCTGTGATGTCCCTGGCTCTAGACCAAGTACATGTTTGATCAAGTACCCAGATGGGCTCAGATTTCCTTAATTAGACACCAGCTCTAAGACTAATTGGTTATGTAATTTTGGACAACTTACTTAATATCTCCGTGTCTCATAAAATAGTTTTGAGTGACTGTGAAAGCCAGCTGAATTAAACCATGAGATGCCCAACTGTGCCTAGTTGGCTAGCCAACATGGGTCTTGCTAAGGCTTGGGAGAGTTCCCTCCCCCCACCTGCCATGGATACCTACTGTTGGCATCTGGTAAAGACATTGGTATAATAGTAATGTGCCTCATGTGGCTGATAGACAGACTTTTGTTCATGCCAGAGCCTGGCAAACAATAGGTGCTCAACAAATACACACAGAGAATACATGAACAAAAATGTAAGCAATCTATTCTTTAAGTTCAGACTCACTTCCCTCCCTCTCCCTCTCCCTCTCCCTCTCTGTCTCCTCTTCCTCCCTCCATCTCTCTCTTTCTCTCTCTTCCTCCCTCCCTCCCTCTCTCTCTGCTCTAAGAACTCTGCCCCATCATGTTTTTTTTTGTTTGTTTCTTCTGATATTTTTTGTTTGTTTGTAGTTTTTGTTGTTTTGTTTTGTTGGAGTTTTTTGAGATAGGGTCTCACTCTATAGCCAGAGTTTACCCAGAACTTACCATGTGACCCCAGCTGACCTCGAACTCATGACAGTATTCCTGCCTCCACTTCCCAAGTGCTGGAATTACAGACATGGGCCACCATGCCCACCTCTTCTGGTTTTGTTGCCCCACAAGAAGAGTTGAAGCTGCATCTGGCCCAGTTACTAACCTGACTTCCTAAGTTCATTGTTGAGGATTTGAAAGCTGCCGCTCTCTAGCTGCTTGCTCTGGGAGCTGGTAGTCACTCTTGGTGCCCCCTCTCTTATCAGTACCCTCTGCCTGCCCACGTTCAATCAATTCCCTGGTCTGAGAGTCTCCTTACAAGTGCCCTCAGATCTGCTGGGATAGCTTCATCACCGCCAGCCCTTCCTCGTCTGCTTCTGTATTGAACCCAACCTCTCTCCCCTGCAGGTGCCACCAGCCCCTCTCCCCATGCTAACAGAGCAATATCTTATTTCTGGGGACACGCCAATCAGGGATGTCACCTAAATCTGCCATGGTTGTTTGCAGACTGTAGGACCCGCCCTGCACAGCCCCCAGCAGGCCACTGAGCCCAGTTTGAAGAGTATCCACACTTTCTGCTCTCAGCCTTTCCACGTTTTCTCTGTATTCACACCCATGTGCCACAGGAGCACCAGGCAGCGCTGCTGTGACGTAGGCTCTCCCTTTTACCTAAAAGCCACGACGCTGTCTAAATACTCCTCATCTGGCCCGTGCATTCAGTAGGATGCAGGGGCAATCTTTTACCATCAAGATAGTAGAGACAGGGGCTGGCATCTCTGGAGATGGGACCTCTGTAGCCACCCACTCCATAGAAAATGCTGTTCCACAATCTCTCTGCTGGTCCCAAAGGGGCAAGGCCCCAGATGGCCTCTGACCTCCCTCTGTGGCGCTGTCCCACTGCACATGTCCTAGTGAACATGTTAAACCCTCCGCTCACACGGAGACAACCACGAGGAGGGTGCACCCAATTTGACTCCAGTGGACTCAGTGGCTGCCGCTTCTTCTGGCTGACAGACCTCACTCCTCATTTGCACTAGCCTTCAAGTATTTCACACACTTCTTGAGATGCTTTCTTCCAGACACCCCCAGGCCCATCCCAAGAGAAATCCAGGCAAAGGCAGTTTTCCTCAAGGAGGGACCTACATGAATGGGCTGTATAATGGGGCCAGGGAGGAGGCGAGTTTGAGCTCGGACAGTAAACAATGATCTTTGGGATTCAGTTCTAGAGGGGAATCTCCAGCTGGGAATGTCTGCTCAACCCCGTAATTTAGGAGGATGGGGTGGGCTTAAAGTGAGATTCTCGCCAACTCCCCATACTTGGTCCCTCCAGGCTGACACCTTCATCATCGAGGCCGCTGACCTGGGTGTCATCTACAAGATCAAACTCCGCCATGACAACACCAAATGGTGTGCAGACTGGTATGTAGAGAAGGTGGAGATCTGGAATGACACCAACGAGGATGAGTTTCTATTCTTGTGTGGACGCTGGCTGTCCCTGAAGAAGGAGGATGGGCGGCTGGAGAGGCTCTTTTATGAGAAGGTACCTCATGGGGGGGGGGGTTGCTGGGACCTCCGTGCAGCCACAACCTGTTGTCATCTTTATTCTCCAAGAGACAATCCTTGGAGCAGAAGGTGCCAGCCGTGCAATGAGCCCAGGCTGTGCTTTTCCTTGCAGGAGTACACTGGAGATCGTAGTAGCAACTGCAGCAGCCCTGCTGACTTCTGGGAGATCGCCCTGAGTTCCAAGATGGCAGACGTGGACATCGCCACAGTAACAGGACCCATGGTTGACTATGTTCAGGATGGCCCGGGTAAGCAGAGCTCTTCGGGAGGTGAGCAGGCACAGGAAGGAGGCTTTAAGCTAGTCTTAGATGGGTGTTGCTCTACTGATACCGACCGAGTGGATGTAGAGCTTTGTACTTGGTGGTGTTTACACAGACAAGAGCCCTGTGAGGTGAGCAGGCAGAGAGAAGCCCCCTACAGAGGAAGCAGTGGAGAGAACTGTGGTGATGATCTCCTTAACCCATCAGAAAGCTCTTGTCTTGAGCTCTGTTCTCACCCAGACTCTCAGAACATGAGTTCCGGCCAGGGGATCTGGGACAACCCAACAGAAAGCAGGACCAACAGGAACCTGCCACCGAAGTGTGATGTGGTATGTTCCTGGGCCCAGGAACAAGAGGTCCCAAGCTGTTAGTTTGGGGACTTAAAATCCATTTCTGGTTCTGACAGTAAAACCAGCTTTGTATAAGTCAGTCTCTTGGCCTCTGTGTTTGTCTCCTCCATGAAGCAATGTCCTTGAAAAATTCATTTCATGGGCTGGAGAGATGGCTCAGAGGTTAAGAGCCCTGGCTGTTATTCCAAAGGTCCTGAGTTCAATTCCCAGCAACCACATGGTGGCTCATAACCATCTATGGAGAGACCTGGTACCCTCTTCTGGTGTGTAGGTATACATACAGGGAGACTATAGATAATAAATAAATACTTTCTTAAAAAAAGGAAAATTTCACTTCACCAATCATATTTTTGAGATAAGACAGTTCTATGTTTATTTCTTGACCATTTGAAAGTCCTACCTTCTTAGATTTAGGGGTGTGACCAGCACGATGTCACCCTCCAGGACAGCATGGGGTAGATCTATAGGGTCAGAGAGACTGACATGCTCTCCACATGCCACCTTCTCCTTGTGTGAAACATGACAGGATCCACAAAATGGCTACCCTTAACAAAGCTCAGCGGTCACCTGTGGGAGAGCCAAGCAAGGTGCTGGTACAGCGTGCCAGCTGGGAGAGGCCCGTCTGGTTAACTTTCAGAGAGATACAGATGGCACAACCTAAGCCCCCCACAGCGGGGCAGTGACTCCTGTCAACTGGGATGACAGGCCAGGAGAAGGCTTCCTAACTGCCGATGACAGGGATCTGGAGATCCATGGCTTAAACAACTCCAGCATTTCTCTAGTGCAATAAAAGGAAAGCCATCTAAAGCTAACCCAACAGCTCCAGGATGCCCCTGAGAGCACTGATAATACAACCTGCTCATTCTGAAACCTTATCAAAGGCTCCTACCCTAAAGGCTACCCAAGATAACCTTCCCCAATGAGGGCTGAGGCACCAGCCTTCACATCCACATCCCAAGCAGAATAGGGCACTCCTTCCGGGAGAGTCAGACCCTTTAAACAGTTACCCTAGAATCCCACCCAGCAATCACTGGCTTACCTATCAGAACCACCCCTAGTGGAAGGAAAATTAATTCCGACTGAGTATCTAGAATCTGAACTGTGTGACCTGAATGAGTTTTTCTGCTGACCAAACCAATGTGTTTTGGTTTGGAAATGGATGCCTTTCGAACTTTCCTCAGCCGTGTTATTGCTACAGTACTCTTTGATTTGCATTCTGTGAGACCTTCCTTCTCAGCAGTGGTGACTGTTTCAGGCATGTAACCGCCCCAGACCTAGTGGGAAGTTGTCCATGTTCTTCCTTGCCTGGGAGGGAAAGATTCACCTAAGATAATCGATTAAATGGGGCTTTCAAAAGCTTGACACTGCAAAGGATACAAGGAGGCCCTCTTGGGTCTTTCATTGGGCATTACTGATTACTCATTCCTGAAGAGCAGACACACACCATGAAGTTGCAGCCTATCTGAAAGTCTTCGTTGCACTTGGTATCTGAGCGAGTGAGGAAGGAGAGGGTCCTCCCAAGGTCATTGTGGATCTGAAGCCCACAAGACAGCCTGCTGTGATGCTAACCGATCTCTTGCAGTGATCCCCTACTACGTGTCTGTGACCACGGGGAAGCACAAGGATGCGGCCACGGACAGCCGGGCCTTTGTCGTGCTCATTGGGGAGGACGATGAACGCACCAACCGCATCTGGCTGGACTACCCCCAGGGGAAGCGAGGCTTCAGCTGCGGCTCTGTGGAGGAGTTCTACGTCGGCGGCTTGGATGTGGGCATCATCAAGAAAGTAGAGGTGCTGGCACTGGGTCCCCTTGACGATGACCCCCCGATAAAAACAACTGGTGGGGGCGGGAAACTGTGGACAGACAGAACAGTGACCTGGAGCTCCTCTGGGGTACAGGCAGATCCCCCGCCTCACCACCAGGGTGTGGGGTGACCTCAGGTTTCCTATTTCTGCCTCGTGAGTAGAGATAACCCTGTGTACCCGTTTCCCCATTGCTGTGTTAAAAGTTAACATCAAGCTGGTAACTGAAAACAACCCAGGTGTGTGCCTTGTCCTGGGTCAGGAGTCTGGCTGGAACTTCTCAGGGCCTCCTGAGATGAAAGTAAAGCATGACCCAGCCTGTGGTATTTTCTTGAGCCTCCATTCTTCTCCAAGCCTACTAGCTGTTGGGCAGACCATTCTCTTGCTATTGGGGGTAAGGCCTTCATTTCCTGTTACTCCTTGCCTAGTGACAATCACCAAAACCTGTCCATGCCCTTCATCCAAGCTTGTCCAGTAGGAGAGCTTGAAGAGCTTGGACGAAAAGTCTCTGACTTTTTCCATCCCTAACACCCATGGTCTCTTTTAAATAGCTCACCCAATGAGGTCACGGCCACTTCATGTTTTGATTAACCCTGATAAATCACCTGTCCTCCATGGAAGTCCTGATGCATATTGGGAGGAAATGCCTGGAGGGAGAGCACAAGCCGGGAGAGGACACTGAGCAGGGAAGGCTTTTTCTCAGCTCTGTCCAGATCCTCACAGGGATGATGTATCTCACAGCTGGGCCACGATGGAGCCTCCCCTGAGAGCTGCTGGCTGGTAGAGGAGCTGTGCTTGGCAGTGCCCACCCAGGGTACCAAGTACACATTACGCTGCAACTGTTGGCTTGCCAAGGACCGAGGCGATGGTGTCACCTCCCGTGTCTTTGACCTCCTGGATGCCATGGTTGTGAACATCGGGGTGAAGGTATGTGTGTGTGTCTTCTGCAAGTAGGAGACACAGGGAAGAGGAATGTGAAGGAGGTAGGAGAGCTGTCGCTGGGATATGGACAGAAGCTGTAGCCTGGAAAGATGGCTGGACTCACTTAGCTGAGGAGACTGCTGCCTTTTGGTCTGCTGCTGTGTTTCGTTGGGGAAGTCTCCTCTTCTCCTACACCACATGCAAAAAACATTTCCCTTCATTGCCTGTTCTGTGCTCAGTCTTGGCCAAAACCAATGAGATGGCTAACAGTCCCTGAAGGGCTTTGGGTGGTATCAGCTCTGCCCAGATCACATCGCACTGCTCTCCACACCCATGGCATAGCAACAAGGCAAGGGACGCCAGAGACTGAGGGCCTCAGGATCTCACAGTATATCAGTGACATGACATCCATCACATCAAGAAAAGCCAAGAAGGCATGAGGTTTACTTTCTGTCTAATGGGTCACATGAGCTGGGGCGAGTTGCAAAACCTCATACGTCAGGGTCAGGCAGGAGGCAGGTGGTCCAACGACAAACACCTAGCTAGCGGCCTCCTGCTCACCTGCTTCTCTCTCTCTTTCATGGGCTGTGGAGCCAACAGCAGCCCAGCTCTGTTCAGTCAGGCCACCTACCGAGGTCAGGGCCAAGCAAGCCTTCCTGTGCTGAGATGGGAGCCGCCAAGAGGGACTGAACTCTGCACTCCAAATCCTCCACAGGAAACTGTGCCTGTGCCTGCCCTCCCCAGCAGGGGAGTCGGGGGCAGGGCAACTTCCTGAAACACAGCCATCTCCCTCTGTGACCAGATGGATAGTGTGGGTGAGCCTGCCGTCTATCCTGGGCTTCTTCCCTGACCCACTTCCCAGCCTCTGTGTGTCTCTGAGCCCACCCCTCGCCCCCATACACACCACACCCTGCTCAGCACAGCTCTTTCCAGCTCTGTCGGGGAAAACCAGGGCCACATCCCACTGTTCACAGCAAAGACCGTAGGCTAGTCAGTACACAGACTGCGGGGCCCTTCAAGGACCTTAGGCTAGTCAGTACACAGACTGCGGGGCCCTTCAGGGACCTTAGGCTAGTCAGTACACAGACTGCGGGGCCCTTCAGGGACCTTAGGCTAGTCAGTACACAGACTGCGGGGCCCTTCAAGGACCATAGGCTAGTCACTGTACCAACTGCAGGGCCGTTCAGGAACATAGACTAGCCATGAGAGGAACTGCAGGGCCGTTCAGGAACATAGGCTAGCCACAAGAGGAACTGCAGGGCCCTTTGTGCTGTCCTCTCTCCAGGAAACCAGCCAGAGTGGCAGGAGCCCAGCCCTGCTTCCATCTCTCATTTGGAAACATGTCAATTATCTAAAAAGACCTGTGTCTGTAAATGAAGAGAATGAGGGACCCAGAGAACAAAGGAACTAGCAGGGCCTGACCTCAGAAGCTGGTCTCTTTCAGGCCATCAACACCCTTTTCTGACCTTTCTATCTTTTGTGCCTGTGTGGATAAGAGAAAGAAAGGCACTGCCTGTGCTCAGTAATTCTTCCAGTCCTATACTTGTCCATTCCCCACAATGATATCCTGTGCTCTGCTGAGAGCCAAGCTTTCCCATGCTGCTGCTGACCCTGGAGAAGAGTGTAGGTACATCTGGAACAGTGACCAGGATGTGGCCACGGTCACACATAGCACACACAGTTCATGGTCCAAGTCTTCCTGAAGAGCATGGGGGCTGGACAGTGGCCTGGGTACGACAGGATGCGGCAGGCTTGCCGTTCCTCCACCTCTCCTCAGCTCTCAGAGCTACTAGTCTGTCTGTGGGTACCTGTTAAGAAGGGATGAATAAAAAACCCAAGACCACAGGGTGCCACACACAGGTGACACCTCCACCCAAGGCCACCTCTGAAGAAGAGCCTTCAAAGTGCCTCAAGTCAGACACTCAGGCAAGACAAGCTCTGCTCCCCCTGCCCCACCCAGGGCCTGAAGATAAATAAAGGGAATATGGTCCTTTAGGAGCAAAATCCAAATCTAGAGTGGAAATTGGATGAACAGGTAATTGACTGCCGGCTTCATAAGTAGCTTGAGGCAGAACTCTCAAAGCATGCGCATGCGCGCGCGCGCGCACACACACACACACACACACACACACACACGCGTATCCCCACAGATGTCTTGCTCACAGACATCAGGGCTAGCTGGGTATGACAGGAAGTTGGGGACATTCGGACCCACTGCAGCATCCTCACCCGTATAGCCTGACCACACACATAGTGCCAGACTGTCCGTATACATGGCACCACACTACACAGATGGTCCACACTATGTACATGCATGGACATCATACACATGGTACCAGACCATGTACTTGTATAGCTCCTCCACACACATGGTAGGCCCAGTGCCAGCACCAACTGTATTTCAGCCACCTGCATATCTCATGAGTCTACAAGGATTGTCTCCCCCTCCCCATCTCTCTGTAAAGGGAGAAAGGATAGGGCCGGGGCATCTGTCCTAGGTAAAAAGCTAGCAGAAGGCAGACCTGGATAGATGGAGCTCTTCATGCTCCCAAGACCACTGTCCTGCCTTCGCAGGGCTCATGTGGGTGGGCTCCCATAGCCTATAGCCTCTGCCAGAGCCCCAGCTGTGTGATTACGGTGGGGCGAGGTGGGGCGAGGTGGGGCTGGACTGGCTTTGCTTCCTGGTCAACTGCACTAGACTCAGCTCACAGCTGCAGGACTTGGAGAGCGTGTCTCTTCTCCCTGGGGACACTGATGGGTCAGGTGGTTTGGTGGGTGGGGCTGAGGGTCAGAAACTCGAACCCTCTCGTGGCAGGTGCTCTATGAAATGACAGTGTGGACTGGTGACGTGGTCGGTGGAGGCACAGACTCCAACATCTTCATGACCCTCTATGGCATCAACGGGAGCACGGAAGAGGTGCAGCTGGACAAAAAGAAGGCCAGGTACCCAGCAGGAGCTTGACCCCACAGCCCGATCACCTCTGACCTCCTCTATCCTCAGCCACGCTGTCTTCAGGCATGCTGGCTCTGTCCCACCCACTGTATGCCATAAGGCTCCCTAGCTGTCTTTTGTTGCTCTTTTCCCACACTTTTCCCTTTCAAGAGCCAGATTAAATATCCCTGCTCCAGGAAGCCTTCATTGAGTACCAAAACCCATGACAATGTTTCCTCCTTTAAACTAATACTTATGTTATGTGTATGAGTGTTTTATCTGCCTGTATGTTTGTGCACCACTTGGGTGCCTAGTGCCTGTGGAGGCCAGAAGAGGGTGTCAGACACCCTAAGACTGGAGTCACAGATAGTTATGAACTGCCATGTGGAGCTGTGAATAGAACCCTGGCATTCTGGGAGAGTGGCCAGTATTCTTAACCTCTACACCGCCTCTCCAACCCACTTCTTCTTCTGTTCACTCATCTGATCTTCCAAAAATGTTCACCCGAAGGCCCGTATGGCTGACATTGCTTCATCTTATTCATGTCATGGTTTTGTTCCATGCACTGTATCAGGTGAAATGTCCCAGCGGGAGAAGCAGCGTGAAGGGTGCATGGAGTTCCTCTGCTTTTGTGGCTTTTCTGCGTCTAAAATGATTGCAAAATAGAAGTGATCAGCTTTCATAACATTAACAAATGGTCCATGAGGGTGAGGATGGTAGTGATGGAGGTGACAAAGGGGGTAGGCTGCTGAAGCAATGCAGACCAGGCAGAGATTTCTTCCCACACTCACAGCAGCTCATCCCAGGGACCTGCTAAGGGTCCTTTGCTGCCCTCTCTTACACTTCCACCCTCTTGGTATGCAAGCACCATGGTGACAACCTTGGGATGGCTCACACTGAGTACCCACTCGATGCCTGGCACTGCTCAACGAGCCTTGTCACCTGTTTTAATCCAGGGCACCCCTTTAGTCTGCACTGTTAGCATCTCCCACTTGTGATGAAGTCCTGAGGCACAAAGAGAGAAAGTAAATAGTCCAAGGTCACTGGGGTTTGAACTCAGAAATCTTGGGGAAAAAAATGAAGCACCCCTGAGGGCAGAGGTGATTTATTTAGAGCTTGCTGTGAAGCTGGTCAGGTAATGTTTTCAGGTACGGTGATGTGGAAGGGTGTGTTGTGAAGCATCATTGTGGCTTGGTGAGGCATGCTGAAAATCAGGCATCCCATGTGACTGAATTAGTGAGACATGTTGTTTCTCCTTTTGGTCCTGAGCTGGGAAACTGGAACCAAATAAGGAAGCTGGTAGTCGATGGACAAGTGGTCATTGTGAGCCAGGTGCCAAGGAGGCTTTGGGTCGGGGCTTGATTTCTAGGCATGGTCTGGTGATACCCCATCGCATGTTCGGTTCCTGCTAGTCTCCTCTCTGCTCCAACACCCTGACACCCGGTCATGTGGACAGACTTTCTCTGCATAGGTTAATGGTGAGAGGGAAACTGCATGTCCTACTTGATCTGGCATGAAGCTCCTTCCTGAGCCACGCCTCGCTTTGCTGCATCTGCTCCCAGGAGGGGTTCTCCCATGTCAGGGCTGTCTTAGAGGCAGATGAGGACAGAATGAGCTCTAGGTGTGTGTCATAATCACTGCATGGGGCTGTTCAGGGAGACACATATCCCCCAAAAAAGCTGTGTGGCCCAGATGAGGGCCAGAACATACACACATATGCATACACATGTACAGAGACATTATGGAGTGCTTGTGGTAGGCCCCTGTCACTGTGGGGTGCTTACAGTAGGGCCCTATTATGGCACAGCGAGGCCCCTATTGTCAGTTGCAATCAGGAGCAACTCATTCTCCTCATCTAAGCTCCCCACCTCTAGAGAAATCTGATGGTCACGAAACACACACCTGTGAATTGTCAAAGGAGAAGTAATGTGAACTAACACTATCTCCAAGGTGAGGAAGTCCCTCGCCCTCAATCTGTGGCACACAGCCTCACTAGCCCTGGGCATGGTCTGTTTTAAGTGTGTCTTGTACCCAGAGGCCGCTCAGAGTCGCCTGTTCAGGACCACCTGCACCACCACAGGACCCTACCAGCAGTATCATAGAATCAGTCCGCAGCCAAACAACCAGTCAGGACTTGTGCGAAGAGCAGCAAAGACTAAGGGTAGAACTCTGAGATGATGCAGCCATCGGACAGGAGAAAGATGGCCATAGCAATGCGGCCTTGAGCCTGCTGCCGCTTCACAACTGTCAGGGACACGGACCAGTCCAGAGCCACTGTGCTCAGCTGCACAATTTCACACACAGAAATGAGGCTGATCTGGAGGTGTACTGCCTGCCCCGCCCGTTAGGGAGACCTTGTCACTCATAGAATGTCACCTAAAGCTTTTTCAGGTATGAACTTTTTCTTTTTACCTTTAAAGTTGGCTTCCCGTCTATTTGGTCTCCAGGATAGCCTTAACCACAGGGTGTCATTCTCCCTAGATTACGAGTGGGGAGCCCCGGTCCCAGAGAGGAAGGTAGGAAACTAGCAAATGAGAGCAAAACTCAAAGCTGTCAGCTCTGGGTTCGGGGATATGGCTATCATCCAAGCCTTCTTGGATCCCACCTGGGGTGCAAAAGGTGGGCAGCTGGGAAATTGCCGGGAGCAGGAAGGCACCTGGTCTATCACCAGGTTGGCTTACCAACGTCCCTTCTTCATTCCCACCCTCAGGTTTGAGAGGGAACAAAATGACACCTTCATCATGGAGATCCTGGACATTGCTCCCTTCACCAAGATGCGCATCCGCATTGATGGAATGGGTAGCCGGCCAGAGTGGTTCCTGGAGAGGGTAACGTGGAGCCCTCCCTCTGTCCCTACCCACCTCTCCTCCATGCCATTTGGTTATAAGTGACCTTATAATGCAGCTGTCCTGACCATGGACTTTGGTGTGAATTAATTGGGAAGTGAAGCTTTATTTGTGTCTAGAAAGAGCTGGATTACTGCCAGAAAACCCAGCACAGTGGGCAGAGCCTGGAAAAGGTTCAGAGTGAGCACCATTTGGGACAAGAGCTGGAGGGATTAGCAGTGCAGACTTGAGGCAGTGAGAGCTGGGCGGATGGTGGGCTTTTCTGAACCCTGTAATTACACTGTTAGGTAGCTGCTCTCTGGAGGAGCCTGAACTCACCCAGGCAGCCAGGCTGCAGCCCATCCCTGGGCTCTCAGGCAGGCTGAGTGCATCCTTAACAGGGATAGTGAGAAAGTTACATCAAGTGGAAGCGTGACATGGCTTTGTTTTGCCTCCATCTTCCCCTCTCAAGCACACAGCATACAGAACGCATCACATACCACACATAGTCACAGGCTCAGCTTCTCCCAAGGACAGACGGTGTCTGTGCTCCTCATTACCCTTGCGAGACTCTGACACCGGGGACCAGGGGACAGCCACTGGCACTGTTATAGAGCAGAGGGCTCCCAGGGCACAGCTCAGCTTGCTCTGTTTTCATGAGAACAAATGACAATGATGACAGTCCCACAGGCATGCTCCAGTGTCAAACGGGCTGGCACTGGTGTCGGATGCTCTCCTTGTACGGTGTGAGACAGCTTCCTGCAGCTGTGTGACAAAGCTCCAGAATTTCAGTAACGAAGGTGCAGGCAGGCTGGGTGTCCTCTGAACACAGCAGAGGGTCTGACCTTGGCTGTCCTCAAGCGCTACCAGCGGTCACATAGCACTTTTCCCAGTGTATATGTTGTTGTGTGTAAATTCCCCCATTCTGTGACCTCATCTTAACTGATTATTATTAAGCTTGTATCTCAAGACTTTGATGATTGGAACTTGAATATCTAACACTCAGGGTTGAGGGAATACAGTTTAATTTATAACACAAATCCTTCTGCAAGCTTGTCTGAAATAGTCTTCCCACCCCTCGTCCACCCAAGGCCATCTGTCCTGGTTCTCCTCAGGCTCTCCGTTCCCTATATAGCCATTGCAGACTGTCAGTGAGCTGACAATACTGAGTCCAGGCCAACCTGGAAAATGTCAGCGCCCTGCTCCAAGGCTAGTAATGGGTTAATTAGTTTTATTTTCTATCACTTATTCAGCAAACATTTTCTATACATCATGTTAGGCATTGCTGTGGAAGCCTTTTCAGATAAATTTCCAATTTCCGGTTTGCATGGGACTTTCAGTAAAGGGTATAAGCAGAGCCCTCCCTACACCCAGAAATCTGAATCAGGGAGTTTGGGGTGGCGGTGGGATTCGGGGAATGGAGAGCCCATTTCTTCATGGCCCCTCTCCAGATCCTGCTGAAGAACATGAACACAGAAGATCTGACAATGTTCTACTACGGAGACTGGCTGTCCCAAAGGAAGGGCAAGAAGACATTGGTGTGTGAGATGTGTGCAGTCATTGATGGAGAGGAGATGATGGAGTGGACATCCTACACAGTCTCAGTGAAGACCAGTGACATCTTGGGTAGGCTGTGGCCTCCTGCCTCCTCTCCCCTTGCCTTCCACTCTTGAACGCTCCTAATCAGGACATTTTTCTTCATGTAACCTTCTGAAGTCATATCATCTCCATAGTGCATCACAGTCTGTGGGGAGAGTATTTCCTCCCAATGACCAAGCTGGTTTCTTCCCCAACCCCCCACAGAAACAGAGAAGATAACCTCAGCCGCACAGCCTTTGCTTGGCAAAGAGCCTGCTGCTTCTGCTATTGTATGCGTCTCACCCTGGCACTGTGACCCTTGGCACATCTGTGCTTCACATCTGTATGCGACTCTGGGGACCGAGGACAAAGATGTGGCTCCAGGGGACCCACAAGTCTCATAGTCTGCTGGAGCTAACACACCATTAGCCAAGACAGATGTCAGCCTAGGTGCTTCTGGGGAGCTTTGCCCCTATATATAGGGGCAAGGGCCACAGAGGCATCCCAGAAAGTTGCCAAAGTCATCTTTGGCATTTCTGGACTTGACTTGGCGAGTCAAGTCCAGAAAGATAAACAAAGCCATTGAGCTGACAGGATGCTAAGAAGAAAAGCTTCTCAGCAAAGAAAGGGGTAGCCCTGATCTAGCCAGGAGGCAGTGCCTCCTGCCTTCCTTCCCCTAGCCAGGGCCTCTCTGCAAGAACCATGGACAGGAATTTGGCAGATTCATTCACATTCACCCTAGATGACTTGTTGGTCATGAGTCAAGAGAGCTCACGCTTTTAACACAGCAGTTTGCCAAAGAAGCAGCTGTGCTGGTGGAAATCTCAGCCTCAAGAGATGGGTCAGTAAATCTGGTAGAGTTTGTTTCTAGCTTGTTCCTTCCTTCTTTTCTCCTCACAGTGGGTCTTCCTCTTTATCTCTTGACGTTCCCAGTGTCCACATGCTTCGAAGGGCCTCTTTTCATTCCTTTATGGTATGCTCTCAGAAAAAGAATTAAGTTCATTGATGGTAACACGTATGTGACAGGAAAGCTTCACAAATAGCTCTTTCAGGAACTCTGGCTTCTTAAACATGGCCAACGCCTGTTTGAAGCACCTCCCTGTGAACATGCATTTCTGTGCTAAGTATTTGTGTTACTTTGATTGCAATTAGACCAACAGTAATTGCAGCATGCAAAGAGAAGGCTAGGGAGAGAACTGGACACGTAGGTGGCAGTGCTTACTCAGCGGGCCGAGGTTGGCTGATATGGATGATTAGAAATGAATCTTAACCAGGCCTGGATGGAGGGGCTCAGCAAGACTAAGCTGAGACAGGTTTATTCCAAGCAGTATACATTTATCAGAAGCAGAATATAATGATGGTTGCCAGGATCAATACAGTGGCAGTTGCCAGGATACAATGATATTGGCACTCTATACAGAGTACACAAGATTAATGTCTAAGACTAATTGTTGTATCAAGGTTCTAAATGCTTTATTGACTTCTAGGGGACATGGAGAATCACAAGGCAGCCTGAATGCCTCACTGCCTGAGGGAGTTCCTCAGTTTCTTAGGAACTGAAGGGCACACAGTGCCCCAAGAACCATGGACTCCAACCAGAAAAACCTATGACTCATGCCTCTCAAGGCAACTAGGCCAGGCCAGCTCCATGATTCCCTGCAACACCTAAGAGGCTCAGACCACTTCTGGCCTTTCTGATTTTGCCCTTAGTCTCACTGACTCTAGATTCTGTCCCCATGTGTCCCAAGGGTCTGGGAATATGGCTAAGGCAGAGGGCTTTATCAAGAGACCCCAGTTCCCAGAGCCTCACCCTGTGTGTTTCCCAAGGGGCAGGCACAGATGCCAATGTGTTCATCATCATCTTTGGGGAAAATGGGGACAGCGGGACCCTGGCCCTGAAGCAGTCAGCCAACTGGAACAAGTTTGAGCGGAACAACACGGACACCTTCAGCTTCTCCGACATGCTGAGCCTGGGCCACCTCTGCAAACTGAGGGTCTGGCACGACAACAAAGGTAGCTACGGCCTGAGATAGGGTGGTAAAGGGTCTCCCTGGGATGGTGCTCCCTGGGCCCTCTGACTTTCTACTCCAGCTGGAAGGCGAGTCAGCCATGATTGCTGCATTTGGATGCACCATCAGTTAGAAGACCGGTGTTATACTGTAACTTATTTCCTTCTGTTTCTCCCTGGGTTATTAATGATTCTTCATTTCTGCAATATCTGAGCATGGATTCTACTTAGTTCAGGCATAAAAAAAAATTAGAAAAAAAGAGGATTCAGTTGGGTTAGTAGCTCAAATGTAACATAATTGCTTAGCATGCAAAAGGTCCTGTTTTCTACACCTGGAGGAGAGAGTGTGAGGGGGAAAGGGCAGGAGGAAGTGGGAAGAGGGAGAAGTGGAGGGAGGAAGGGAGTCTCACCAAGTCCACTTCCCATGGATTTTCTACATGTTTTCCCTTGCAACACTGAGTTTGGAGGTCGCTACATTCACTCATAAGTTTAAACAGGATACAAGCCAAGTGAGAACTTTACTTTTTAACTCCAAGGCACTTACAGGGTACTTTATCTGTTGCTGTGATGGAGTCCGTGGCCTCTACATTCCTTTGACCACAGCTTTGCTCTCTGCAGGTATCTCTTTACTCTGGCTTTGCACCTGCAGCTTCTGTTTGATATCAGAGTTCATTATCAGACTTAGTCACCTCCGTGCTTGCTGCTTCCTCCAATTCATCTCTAGTGTCCTCGGTCAAACTAGCTTCCCCTGAGCTGTCTGCTTAAGTCCCTCTCCTGCCTTGCTGTCTCCTCCTACAAAGCTGTCCTGAGGCTCTTCAAATCCCACTGCAGCTGGTCATTGACAGACCCAACTCCGCAGCTGGCTACACTTCCAGAAGGAGCAATAGCACGGATTTGTTTCAACATGGAGTCATAGTCAAAGCATTTCCCATATGACAATAATCTCAGATAAGGCATAAAAAACAGCTGCTCTTCAAAACAATAACAGTGACAGAGCACTTCACAGCTGTCAGATTTCCTCCATCTATTATGTCATTCATGCCCTGAACATCTATGTGTTCCTGGTGGGCCTGGGACCCTGTGAGGTAGCAAGAGATGCAAATATTTGATCATTCAGTGTGTTTTGTGACCTTAAATTACAAAAGGATGGTACTGGTTCTCTGCTCTGTAACCAAAGAACATTGAGGCCTTAGGATGTCCATTTCAGGACCACCGAACAGCAAATGGACCAGCCAGCAGTCATCAGCAAGTATTCTGATGTTCTTTTGATCCACCATGTCCATCCCGCTGACCATAATTCTGCATCTTGACTGCCCTCATGCCAGAGAACCTGGAAGGAAGATGGCGGTGTGAGCAAAAGCATCCTCTGCTTTATTATCAGGTGTTCAGGACAGGACTCTCATCCCAACAAAGTGCAGTGCTTAGGAGCTCCTCTTCATCACTGGGACAAAATAAGAAAATAAGGGCTGGAGAGATGGCTCAGCAGTTAAAAGCACTGTCTGCTCTTCCAAAGGTCATGAGTTCAATTCCCAGCAACCACATGGTGGCTCACAACCATCTATAATGTGAACTGATTCCTTCTTCTGGCAGATGTAAATGCAGATAGAACACTCATCTACATAAAATAAAAAAATCTTTAAGAAAAATAAAATAAGGGAGGAAGAATTTCTATTGGGTGAGTGTCCGAGCATTCAGGTAATGGTAAGCCAGCTCCCTTGCTTGTGGGATGTGGTGAGGTAGAACATCATGAAGGAAGGGCATGACCAAGGAAGGTTGCTCATCTCACTGCAGCCAAGAGAGGCAGAGAGGAACACAGCCAGGGGCCTGAGCTCTTGCCTTTCAATAACTACCCCAGTGACCCCACTTTCCTCCAGCTGACCCCACCTTGCACAGTCCCACTTGCCTGTTTACATAGTAATTTTATTAATTAGGTCCTAGGCTGTGCTTTATTAACCTCCTGGCCTAGTCAGTTTTAAAATCAAGATTAGTCACCTCAGGTGGCATCACAAGTCTGTGGAGAGACCCATACCTCCACTGAGGAGCCACCACAAAGCTTCTGAATTCTCTCCCTGCTGCCATCTCCCAAGATATTCCTATTAGTGGGTTGATTGGCAATCCAAAGTCTGAATGAATGAATGATACCATAGTCTTCTGCCACAGATACTTCAAAAGAGCAGGCTCAGCCTCTGATATGGCATGCCACAGTGACTTCCTCAGTCAAAACAAATGTGCAAACCCCAAGCCACAGGTGTACGTCTGCATAGGCCTTATCAGAAAGACCCAACAGAGCTAGGTGTGGTGGTACCGCCTTTAATCCCAGTGCTAGGGAAGGCAGAAGCAGGATTGATGTGAGTTTGAGGCCAGCCTGGTCTACCAAATGAGTCCAGGATGGGCAAGGCTACACAGAGAAACCCTGTTTTGAAAAATAAAACAAACAAGACCAAATAGACTAGACTGATGGTGCCAGTGTGGAGGAAAGAGGGCAGAAGACAGTCTTCAAGACTTCTGTCACACCCTCCACCTCAGAAACATTAGAACTCATGCCCAAAAAGGAAGATTGCAATACCCAGGCAGCCGAAACCAACGGCCACACAGCAAGACAGGGAGACCTTAGTAACTTCTAGTTAGGCCCCAAAGTAGACAGGGAAGAAGCTTGTGTCAACTAAGCCCATCACTGTTTCTCAAAAAGGAACACCACACCAGAACTATTGCAACATGGGAGTTTCACTCATGGGGTGAGGGTAGGGATATGACCAAGAGGCTGAGGATGTCCTTCTTTAGGAAAGACCATGCTTTTGTAGAAACCAGCTCTCTTTGGGAGCTGTGGAACTGTCCGAGGTTCTGACTTCTAGTTTCTGTTCACTCTGGACTTCATAGCCAGATGTGGGCTTTGTGACTTCATAACTCACTCACTCACTTATTTATTTAGTTCTTTTTTTTACTTCCTCCATTACCTTATTCCTTCTCTTTAGTTTCTTTCTTTCTTGTTTTTGTTGTTTGTTTGCTTGTTTCTGAGGCCTCACACAGTAGCCTAGGTGAGCAGGAGACTCACTATATATTTCATTTTGGCCTGACAACCCTCTGGCCTCAACCTGCTGAGTGTCACAAATAGAGATGTGAGATACTCCACCCAGGTGTGGCTATCTTCATCCTGACCCCACTTTAGATACTCAGAGGCTTGGCAAAGACATCCATATCTCATGCGTCCTATCCCAAGCTGACAGCACGAAAGACACAGGACTGCGGCTCAATGGTCATAGCTCACACTTCTGTCCTCCAAGTATAAAAGCTCCATCTTATTCCAATCTGGGCCCTATCTACCTATTCATCCCCCGTCTATTTTCTCATGGAGCTGCCAATTCTCACAATGTCTGCTTCCATGGACACTGTATGTTTCTCACTGAGAACCTTCTCAAGTCCTCTTGGATGTTTCATGCTGTACCCTTCCTTCCAATCCAAGAAAGAAGAGGCTCACATCTCTGGTAATATTAGGTCTTACAGGAACCTTTCGTGAGACAGGGACAATGTTTGTTTCCAGTGATGTCCAGGTTTACATGTTCCTGTGGCGTGTTCCTCTTATTTGGTATGACCACACCTTAAATAAAATAAGCAACCAGGCCCTTTACTTCTGTAGCTCTAACAACCTTCATGATTCAAATGCCAATCTCAGTTAATAGATCAGTGACAGTCAGCTAGCCAAAGTAGCTTTGCAGTTTTGCTGGTTCCAATCCATGACTGATTGACGTCATTGCTTTGCACCCATGACAAGACAGGGCATCATGGCAGGAGTTCTTGGCAGAGCAAGGCCACCCCTATCAGAACCCAGGAAACAAAACAGAAGGAGCGTGTCATCCCCCTCCAAGAGCACATCCTCTCATACCTGAGGAACTTCACCAGGCCCTACTTCTGAAAGGTTCTACAACCTCCCAAAATTGCCACCCTGGGAACCAAGCTAAAATTTAGGCCTTGGGTATTTCAGGGAACAATTAAGATCCAAACTATAGCAGACAGGATTAAAGCCATAAACAAGGCTCAATGAAGGGAATGCAGCTTGAGCAGATCAGGGGTGGCTAAAAGAAGATTGAATTTGAATGGGATAACTAAAGGGAAGGAAGAAGAGTGGATAGAGAAATTGTCTTTCTCTCTAAACCAGAGTGCATTTTGGAAGCAGGGACTCATCTGGAGAACTCTACTGCTGAGGACTGGCCGCTCTAGTGAGATCCCAAGCTGTGATGTACTGACTCCATAGCTTCTTGGACATAAACTTAATATAGGAAATGCAAAGTAGCATTTGCTTTCAAATAATGAAGCAATTTAAAATATTTTAAATGTTTCTCTGGAGCTGGAGAGATGGCTCAATGGTTAAGAGCACTTGCTGGTTTTACAAAAGGCTCAGGTTTGGTTCCCAGAATCTACATAGCATCTCATGACTATCTATAACTCTACTTCCAAGGGACCAGATGCCCTCTTCTGGACTCAGTGGGCACCAAACCTGGATGTGGTACACATATATACATATATGCAGGCAAATACACCTACATGTAAAATAAAAATAAATAATAAAATAAAAATCTGTTTCTTTCTACAAATTCCCAGAATTTCTAGTTGAGAGATTTTATTACACAGCAAAATATTTCAGTCCCTGCAATGGAGAGAATGCAGGCTTCTATCATTTATGAATTTTATGAATATGGGTTCAATAAACAAAACTGCTGGTCACTGTCTCCCGAGAGACCCCTCTCCACCAGACACAATGCCAGGGAACCACTCTCAGAAAGCCACAGTCTCTCTGCTTTTTGGTCCTTGTTATGTGGTTTTGCCCTTTTATTTTTTATAATTCTACTCCATTCAGAAAATGCTATGGTACATTTGAGTCTGTGATAGAGATTCTGTGAGTTTTGCTTTCATTCTAAAGACTTTCTCTTTTCCTTACTCTCTTTAATATCTCCCTACAACTGGAGCCCAACCCTTGCTTAAATGTTACCTTGCAAGAGCTCACATATTT